TGTTCCCTTATACAACTGCCAGAAGAGATTATTGAAATAAAGGCACTTTTTGCGATTTTATTTTAAGTATAAACAGGATAACAAAATGAAAAGCAGTTACTCATGTCTCTGATCTTGCCTTAATAGATTTAGGCACACTGCCAAAGACTTCCTGTTTTTATGTTTGTTTTTTTCTGTCAAGTTTTCCTGGAATAGGTCACTGAGGTAAATTCTGCAGTTTTCAGTGCAAATAACTTTATTTGATGTGCATTACTTAATATTTATTTCATAAAGTGAACTGAACCAAACTGAATGTAATATAATTTAAAATGTTTGTACTTATTTAAAATTCAAAATGAAGCCATTCTTATGAGTCTAGATTGTAAATCATGTGCATGTGTTTATTAAAAGACAAATTCATAATCTGGAAAAGTGTTCAAGAAGTTTATTTTTAATATTTCTCTGCTATTTTTTTTTAAATAGATAATAATTGGTCAAGTCTCTCCTTGCTCTCCTGAGCCCTTCTGTCTTCTGCTTCTCTTTGTAATCGCATATCTTCATTTATCAGTTCAAGAAGCTCCAAGCTTTCGCTTCGCCTCTTCTGGCCTCTTTTAATAACACCACCTTCCTCTTCCTCTTGAATTTTTGGCCCCTGTGAACAAGTGGCTGTTTTGGTCCCTGAGGGAGATGAAATTCCCCATCTGCTCCTTGGTCCCTAAAACAAATGGGGAAATTAGGGTAAAGTGACATGTCTTGATTAACATTGATACTGTCAAGTATGTTTCTTGGCTACCAGGTTTATGTGTAGATAAGTTTATATATTTCTGTGAAAATACCAAGATATCACAAGTGCTTTGTTTTATACTGAGATTTACTTACATTTCAACGTTAACTTTTTATTGTGTTCGGTAGAGAAAGCTGTTCAAAAATAATAATAATAAAAAAATATACAATATTATAAGTTGAAGGACAGTTCTACAACAAAGAATAAAGGAGGAGATTTATTCATTATCAAATACAATCTTCAGCTTTCATTAAAGACATTACAGTTATATCTTAACTAAAAATATAACGATGAACACGCTTTTACGGCAGTTAAGGACTTTGAATTGTCAACCAAAATGATTTCGTGAGGAATAAAATCTTTCAATACAACATACATTAACCGCGCTTAATTGTATCTGTGTTTGTCTTGCATTCATCAGTGAAAAGCCAATTTTCAAAACAATGTGTCGTGAGTCATGTGTTTCCTCAATCGCGATGCCAGCTGATAACTGTCAAGCTGAGTTGGATAATAATGTAACGCTAACAGAGAGGTTAGGCTAGCATTAGCATTTTGGCAAATTTTAGCTTATACACCAGTTTTAACCTACTAAATGGATTAAGTCCATGTTAGTCAACATGCTTGAGATTCTCCACATGCCATTAATATTATCTTAGCTAAGTTTAGCATTGATGCAAATGTTCAGCATCAGAACACTGGGTTCCAACGGATGGGCACACTTTGGCAGTCCCCAGTTAAATTTCTTCTGAAATTTTCTAGTTATGCTGTGCTATTTGTCTTAACACACCCACGTTGACCCCAGTATTACTCCGTCTCCATCCAGATGTCCATATGCAGACGATCGCTACCTCTCCACACTGGTTCCAGTGGGTCCTTCATCTGGTCTGGAATTTCCAACTCACTACCGACGTTTCATTTTCAAAAAGTTTACCTTTGTGGACACCAATTCAATGGAACCCCTAAGAGAATACGTAAGGAATGCAGCACTCTGACAAAAAAAACACTGTTATTACATATTGTTATTTCTAATAATGTTTTTCTTCTTCAGGTATACATTCACTGTAGCACAGCTGTGTGCGTTCCAGAACATGGTGTAAGCTGTGAACCATTATGTCACACTATAGGAAGTAAGTGATTCATTTAAAAACCTTGAAAAATATAATGATCAACAGACACCCAGATGTGACCACAGTTCTCATGTCGTTGTGCAGAGAGAGACACCGAGGCTGCAGAGGAGAGGAAGGTTGACCCAAAGGTTGTGGTTTCATCTGGACAAGTGATTATGACTGCCCCTCGGGTGAGCAGAGGCAACCTCAGCAATTCAACCGGGAACATTTAGAAAAAAAACACTTTTAAAAATAAAGCAAGTTTTTAAAAATAAAAAAAAAAAAAAAAAAAAAGTAACTATGTATTTCTAAGTAAATGATCGCACAATATATAACCAGCAGTTGATTCAGTTTTGAAGATAGGATGATTGGTTCATGTTAGTCCTTCATATAAAAGTTGTTAACTTGACAACTGTGATGTTTGCACGCTAATAAAGAAATACACTGGATTGGAGTCGATGTCGCTTTACTAGTCGAGTCATACGAAATGCTTCTCATACAGCAATACATGGTTACAATCCGTCTATGGATGTTATCCGTTCTCTACGACACACGTGCGCACTTGAATCTCAGTCTTTTCTCTGGTGCGTTCACTGACAGTCTGTAACATAAATGTATAAGCACCGCTGTATACATTACAACATCTTTAAAATTGTATTTAATGGTTTCATTGTACGAATTTGAATTGTTGTATGAATTCTCCAAATATATCAAGCATGGAAAAACCAAACTGCATTGCAGGAGCACCCCAAGTTTAAAAAGTAATCGTTTAAAACTTCTGTTGACAAACTGCATGAATTAAAATGTAAAACAAATAAAAAAATCACAAGCTTGTAATATTGATGAATAAAAACAGGTTAATGATATTTATGCTAAAATGTGCCTTGATAAAGATATGATCTTTATCTATCTATATGCAAAACATAATATTTTGTATGTGTTTTATGTGAATCTAGATCACAAATATGTTTATGAGCTCACATGTACGACATCCAGTCATAACAAACCTGAGACTTTCACAGAAAGTTGGATTTACAGAGTTTAAATTACACACGGGTGGACTCTATTTACGGATTATGTGACTTCTAAAAGAAATGAATTGCACTGGGTTTTATTTTTGAGTATACAGTTAATCAACATGAGCCCCACACTTTTCAGACTTTAATTTGAAAACCACTCTTTTTCTTTCACTTCACAATCATGCACTACTTTGAGGTGGTCCACCCCTTAAAATCTCTGTATAATAAATCAAATTGATAAATCCAATAAAACAAAATGTAACAAAAGTTGAAGACAGAAGAATTGCTACAAAATGTTTTATATATATACATTGAAAAAAACTATTTCACACATAAGTTAGAGGCAGGGGGATCAATATTCTTGCTACTGTGACTGAACAAAATAAACATTTAGGAGCAAACAAAACCCGCGGATCTGACTTTTAAAAGGTTACTGTGACCCAAAGAGTCAACAGAAGACACTGGGACAGATCAAGGACAGTCAGAGGTGGCTTTCTGCCCAGGTCAGAGGGCGCCACAAAGAGAAATAATAAATGTAACTGTTGTATACTGAAGGATTTTCAGGAACTTAATTGTTTATCAAGTTAACTGAGAAGACTAATGGGTTGTTTCTGCTTCTTACAGATTTCATTTGACCCTCTTTGGTTTATAATCTTACATTTAACCTTTCAGTGCGCTGAACAAACTCTTTAAACACAATTTGAGATTCAAAAAAACATTTATTTCATTTAGGAAAACATACAAAACAGCATTTCCAAAGTAATTTGGCTTGAGAACCATCTTAGGCTAAAACAGAAGTGAAAAGCATAATATACAGACCGGTCAAACAAGAACTTAAGTAATCTACGATGATTTGGACACTTCAAATTTTCATCCACATACCCTATCCTAATTATTATCAGATTAGTTCTAAATATTTCTGAATAATTACAAATTAAGTTGTTTTTTTTTTGATAGAATTGGCTACATTGGCTGGTGGTATGCATTTGATTGTGTGGTGAAGGACGACATGGCAAAGAAAGAGGAAGAAGGGTGGCGCGTGTGCTTCGTATGCAGGAGCATTAACTTTGTTTTCTGCTGTTATTACCAAACTGTAAGCCTGGTAGGTGAATGGTTTTTAGCAAGCAGAAACCGAAAATGTTTTATTGTGCTGCAGGAATTTTTTTTTTTTTTTTTATGTATTGTTAGTGTATTGTTTTTGAGGGCTTCAAAAATGGTTTATAAAAACATACTTTCTGTATAAACATTCATTTAAAAACATAATTCACAGTTAACCAATTCTTATGCACCAACTACAAGTGAATTGCTATAATTAATCAGTATAATGCTACCGGAGTACCAGTTTACTGCAACTAATACACGAGTTCTGAATTACTGAAGAAATTAAATCTCATTCCAAATATTAAAACATACAATTTTTCAGTGAAACTTCAATCATTTGAATTATATGTTGTTGTTTTTTTTTTTTACCTAAAATAAAGAAAATTACCTCCATAAATTAATTTGAAAAACTTTGAAGCTTTATTTTACAAGAAGAACAAAAGGAAAGCATACAAATAAGAAAAGATTTAATTACAAAAAGTCCTTTGCACAGTAATAAAATGCATTTATTGTAGTAATAATAATAATAATAAAAATAAAATGTCTAAAACAACAATCTTCTACGAAGGTGAGAAGATTACCACAAGAAAGCCATACATCTGAGAAGCATGCACATTGAAATGGAAGACACCAAAATGTTCAGGTTAAACACAATAAACCAACCCATAAAAATCTATATTAAAAAACTGGACTTTATCTACCATGTCCTTGATCAGATTTATCTGATCATTTGTCAGTACGTGTGTTTATCTGAAGAGGAATAATCAGAAAATCAGACTCAGAGTGTTTCTAATATTTACCAGCTGAAAGTGAATTATTTCCAGATGAAAGTAAAGAACTCCTTATAAGGCACAGATCATCATTGATTGTCTTGAATCAGAAGGAATGAGAACAGGTGTGCTGTATTGCTTTCTTTTTATGTACACATTTTGAAAACATAATTAAACATTTGTGGAATTGTATCTCTAGTTACATAAAAATAACACAAAAACAACAACAGCATAACTTGCAAACTGCAGCTCTAAGTCCTTAGTTGCTTTTTTCTCCCGCTTACAAATGTTAAAACATCAACAGGAGTGTGAGCTGTGTGTCCAGTCTCCTCTGCTCCATGTCAGTCTGACTTATCTTTCTTTTTGCTGCCTCCTAGAGGAACTTTGTTGACTACTGCAGACCCGACCGCGGTCACGCCGCCAGCCACGGCACACACTCCCCCCTTCACCAGCCCCACTCCCATTACAGGCACGGCAGCTACAGTGCAGACAGCTGTCTTGGTGAGGTCCAGGCTCTTTCCTCCTATCCAAGTCACGCCACCCACTGTAGCTTTGGTGGCTCCATATAACCCCCCCGCCAACCTGCCGAACATCCCCGGCTGTGTCTGTGGGTGGTCCTTGTTGGCATCTGATTTAAAACAACAAAACCAACATATTGTGAATTGGTTTAATCAGCGACAAAAAAGTTATAAATACTATTACTTTTACTTTAATGATCAATTTGTTTTTGAAAGACGGATTGTTTACTCTGTGACTACGAGAGCATCTCCGTAAATAAAAATATCAATGAATAGTTTAGTGATTTAATCAAAAGCATAAACACAGTGAAATGCTTCAAGTGTTTGCTTCATTAATTTTCAGGCTAGCTAATTAAAAACTTTAAATTCTGTTTGTTAAAAAAATAATAGTAGATAAAGACAATAAAATCTTTATTTTTTTTAAACTGAAATGTGCCTCCACAAACATATGGAAGACTGCTAATTTGTCAGTTGTCCAGCAGGCAGCTAATAATATTATGTACTATATATAAAGAAGGTGAGCCACACCAGAAGGTGATTAGGCTGGCTGTTCACAAGAATAGAAGATGAGTGGAATAAAGAAGGATAGTGGAGAAAGACACAGAAGCAAAAGGGATCATTTCAGCCTTGAGACAAATGTGAATCAAAGCCCATTCAAGAGTTTGGGGAATATTCACCAGACCTGGATTGAGACTGGAGTCAGTGCTTCAAAAGCTACCGCACAGGTCCAGGGTGAAGTTCTCACAATCATTTAGGACACCATGCCATCTGCTGGCGTTGGTGAGGTTTTTCCTCTAAACATTTAAACAGTCTGAGAAAGACCAGTTAAAGAGTTTGTGTGTTTTTTTTAGTTTTTTTTTTAGTTTTTGATAACTTACTTTACGACATTTGAGCAAATTGGAGGCATTTTTTGTGGCGTACTTTAAAGCAACACCTCAAACTGCTTTCTTGTGTTACATCTTGTTTAAAAAAAAAAAAAAAAAAAGCAAAATAAATCAGCAAAGGTATTAGGAAGAGAAGCGTGAACCTCCACAAGTCTGATTCATCCTTGGATACATATTCCAGCCGCCTGACAGTGCCACGTTCTTCTGTTTAAACATTTATATGGAAGTATAAACACCAGGGAAATATTCAGCCATTGTACCGTTCAGGAAGGACGAATGTGCTTTGGTGCCAAATGTACATATCCACCCAAAGGACAAACGCAAACAACCTTGTCAGGAGGCTGAAGCTGCTGAGAGTGTCAGTATCCACAATGAAACAAGCAATTCACCAACACGGCCTGGAAAGCCTGTCAGAAAAATGGCTATTGATCTAAAAGCAGCAGCAACAACTAAATAAGATTACAGTTTCCAAATGCCTTCAGGGTTGAAGACATGCACTGCATTTCTACTCTGTTCTACTCTCGTCCATGGGTGTCCAGTTCCTTTACTCAAGGCCTGGTATCCTGAAAGTTTAGATGAGCCTCTGCTCCAACTACCTCAACACGATGTCAAAGTTCTGGAGAGGCTCGCAAATTAACCATTATTTGATCCAGGTGTGTTGAACCAAAGAAAAAAAATTCAAACTGATTTTGAACACCTCTGCTATTACATTTGAGGGAAAGAGAGGGAAACTTGCAAACCCTGCTGTGAAGTAGTCCGTTGTGAAGTGCAATGAATGAACGTTCTAGCAAACTACTGGTGACGCTTGTACAAGGACACCCTGGACAACTGACCAAAAACACACTTAAAATGCACAGGTAAAAAATATTTCACTGTATGCTAAATTCTGGCTTGGAGGAGTATGTTCATGAAAAACATTTCTCTCGCATTATTTTAGAAAAGATAAATAATTCTGCTCATTCAAACTGAATCAAAGCGGAAAAGTTTAGTTTTATTTCATGCCTGACACGGTAAAGGAACACAGTTTCTGAAACATGATGGAGCTTTTACTTGGAGAACAGCGATAGAAAGTATGTTTCCATAACAGAAACAAGTCCTGTAGTGTTTGCATATTTTTTCAATGCTATTCATGCCTTTCCGTATATGACTCCTTACATATGTCAGAGAAGTTCATTAGGTTTAGGTGATTCTCAAGGCTGCATTCCTGCATTGTAATTTAGACTCAGCATGCCTTCACATTAATTTAACCAAATCCAGCCTGATTATTTTTTTCTTCATTAAATATTAAAAAAAGTCAGTTTAAGTCAAAACTTCAACCATGTTCTTGCCCTTGAGTGTCTTATGAGATGACAAAGGAGATTTAGAGCTCAGCTTACCTGTAGCTTCTGGCTCATCTGTGTGGCATGCAGGCATGTCCTCAGGCACCTGCTCGGCCTGACTCATCTGAGAACAAAAATAACAAAATTACCAAGGTGACTCAAGTAGTTACACGTATGCAGTGACGATTACAGCTGGAGGGATTTTTT